TCATGGAGAATGCCTTGTCATCTAAAATTATTTTTAGGTTTCTGAGTTTTAAACAATCTTTCTGGGACTATTTTTAATCTTAGGGTTTCCAAATCTTAAATTTGGAGATCAGTCTCATGCTGCTGTCTGCGCTGAAAGAAGCATCTCAGCATCACATTTCAAAACAAAAGGCCAACTCAATCAGCGTTAACGGAGGCAGTTTGCAAAAGCTGAGGCTGCTGCTGTTGAGGAAGTGGGAACAGGGATGTCAGTGCTGCCTATGTCAAACTTAAGTCCTTTCAAATAATGGGTTTGGCTCTTTGCTTGTTTCCTCCCTCTATGAATATCTATGTTCATTGGAAAAAAAATTAAAAATACATACAAGCAAAAGAAAGGGGAGAAGATCATCAGTAAGCCCATCACTTATTTATTTTTTTTAAGATTTTTTTTAATTATTCATTTTTTAAAATATATTTTTATTGATTTCAGAGAGGAAGGGAGAGGGAGAGAGAGATAGAAACATCAATGATGAGAGAGAATCACTGATAGGCTGCCTCCTGCATGCCCCCCACTGGGGATCAATTCCGCAACCTGGGCATATGCCCTGACCAGGAATCGAACCGGTGAGCTCTTGGTTCCTGGGTCGATGCTCAACCGCTGAGCTACACCCGGTTGGGCTCATCACTTATTGGTAAATGTCCTTTCAGGCTCTTTAAATGTCTATCTAATGTCTCTCTCTTTCTCTTTCTTTCTCTCTCTCTCCCTCCCCCTCTCTCTCTCTCTCTCTCTCTCTCTCTCTCTCTCTCTGTAAATGGTAAGTGCCATGGACAGGAAAACAATTATATCTATACTAGAGGCCTGGTGCACGAAATTTGTGTCCCTCAGTCCGGCCTGCGCCTTCTTGCAGTCTGGGAGCCCTCGGGTGATGTCCAACTGACATAGAGGCGGGAGAGGCTCCCGCCACCACTGCTGTGCTCGCCAGCCATGAGCCTGGCTTCTGGCTGAGTGGCACTCCCCTTGTGAGAGCATACTGACCACCAGGGGGCAGCTCCTGTGTTGAGCGTCTGCCCCCTGGTGGTCAGTGCACATCATAGCAACCGGTTGTTCCGCCGTTTGGTCAATTTGCATATTAGCCTTTTATTATATAGGATATATGGGATAATTCTGGATGTAACATACATATAACTTGTTTTTTATTCAACAATATGTCAGTACATATATATCTGCATCATCATTTGTAGATCTGCTATAATGTTTTTAATTAGCCCCCCTAATTTTCAATAATTTGCTGTTATAAGCATTACCCTGAATATCCTATCATACATTGTTGTGCCATTATCTAATTATTTCCTTAAGATAAACTCCCAGGAGTAAAATTGATGGATTAAAGGGTATACACATTATTAAGGTTTTTTATAAACCTATCAAAAATTGCCTATCATCTGTAAAAGTTGAGTTAGTTTATCCCATGTTCTAAGGATAACTGTTCTAGTCTATAAAAATGCAGCCCTTTTTTTTCAAAAATCACAATCCTAAACTCAGGGCCTTCCATTCTCACACTTCTGCACCCAGAGCAGCAACTCCCCCTGCTTCCAGATGTGTGGCCAGAGCAGCCCTAACTCTGCTAAGTGCATTCTGTCCCGATGTCTCATTCTCATGCATGCACTCTTTTCTCTTCCAGAGTGAATTAGACGTATCCTTTTTCAATGCTGTGAGTCAAGCTTTCCACAGTATTTGGCAAAACACAGGCTAGTCTTTATCAGGTAAGTGCCATGGGCAGAAAAACAATTAGGCAGAATCTAGAATCCAGAATGCTAATCATCAGTGACCAGAACATGAAAGCCAGAGGTACAGCTGCTTTGTAGAAACACCCGCCTTTTTTGCAAAGACAATTCTTATTAAGATTTTTGTATGTTTCAGACAAGGCAGTTCTGTGGTAGTAATTATAATAACTGTTATATATTAATTTAACTTCTCTTAAGTATACAGGATAGACCTTTTTAGAATTTAAGTAACACAGGCAGAAAGTGCGTGGTCCTTGTAGAGAGAATGGATTTTCATGGCTCCAGGTATAAATCTCCAGAAATTCCCCACATGGTCAGAATAAGGCTTCAGGGGTGATAAACCAGAGGGTTAAAGAAGTTGCCTGGCTCATCTTCATTTCCTTTTATAGCAGAGAATGCTCTCCTTTTCTTCTCTTCTCCCTTTTATTGTATTTTTTCTAAATTTATCTTTATTATTGAAAGTATTACATATGTCCCTCTTTTTTCCCCATTGACCCCCCTTAATCCCATACCAGCCTCCCTCCCCCCTCCAAGGCCTTCCCCACACTATTGTCTGTGTCCATGGTTATGCATATATTCATATAAATTATTATGTTAATCTCTCCCTACCTATCCCCCCACCCAGCCTTCCCTCTGAGATGCCACAGTCTGTTCCATGCTTCTATATCTCTGGATCTGTTTTGTTCATCAGTTTGTTTTATTCATTAGATTCTTCTCCCTTTTAAATCAAAGTATCCAAGGCCCCAACAAGAAGCATGATTTGCTTAGAATACTGCAGCCCTGCAGACTATGGCAGGAGCCCACTAGGTATGTGTGAGTGCTCTGGAGGGAAATTGACTTTCAAAAATTTGCTTACCACTTGAAAGCAATAATAAAAGAGTCCTTTGAGAAAACATCAGGCTTGAATCTAAAATAGTTACACTAATTATAACAAATAGATATTAATTATAACGTGCTTATGTATATGTTGGTATACATACATTTAGACATGTATGCCCAGAGTCAGGATATTCTGAAGAAATAGCCATTTACCTTTAACTAGTGATAGAAAATGTCATCATGTTGATAAACTTCATTTTCAGGCTATATTTGAAAGCCTCTTTAAATTAACTGGGAAAATCTGCATGCCCTCTAACGGTGAGTGACCTAAATCTAGGACCCCTTTGACTTAGGAGACCCGAGACCACGCTGTATATTAGCATGTAACCTTCCATTATTTTTTTAAAATATGTTTTATTGATTTTTCACAGAGAGGAAGAGAAGGGGATAGAGAGTTCGAAACATCGATGAGAGAGAAACATCGATCAGCTGCCTCTTGCATACCCCCGACTGGGATGTGCCCGCAACCAAGGTACATGCCCTTGGCCAGAATCGAACCCGGGACCCTTCAGCCCGCAGGGCGACGCTCTATCCACTGAGCCAAACCGGTCAGGGCTGTAACTTTCCATTTTAACTCAGCTCTTTATTTTTTATTTATTTTTATTTTATTTTATTTTTTTTAAATATATTTTATTGGGTTTTTTACAGAGAGGAAGGGAGAGGGAAAGAGAATTAGAAACATCGATGAGAGAGAAACATCGATCAGCTGCCTCCTGCACATCTCCTACTGGGGATGTGCCCGCAACCAAGGTACATGCCCTTGACCGGAATCGAACCCGGGACCCTTCAGTCCGCAGGCCGACGCTCTATTCACTGAGCCAAACCGGTTTTGGCTTAACTCAGCTCTTTAAAGCAATTCAAATAAATCTCTTCCTCCTTGTACAGGGGAATAAGAACTTGCCATTTTACTTCAAGGATGATAGTGAAAGCTGATAGACACTTCCCTGGGAATACAGAACCCAAGTTCCACTTTTGGTCCTACCACCAATTAGCTGTGTGTGTTGGACAAGTCACACAACCTCTCATCTCAAAATGATAGAATTAGACTAGAAGAGCTTTAAAGTCCTCAGCCTTAATATTTGATGTTGCTATGACTCTAGGTAACTGAGCTGAGTTACCTTACACCTGGAACAGGAGAGGAGAGTCCTACAAGGTTAGATATTCAGAGAATTAAAGTGAGTCAGATGTAACAGGATATGTAGTACAGTTGGCCTAGTTGTGTTGATGTGTCTTACATGTTGACTAGATGTTTATTAGAAGTAGAGATGGGTTTGTCTTTGGGTCCCTCTGGTGAATAGCAAAGGTCCATGTAATGAGCTCCAGCATTCTTGTTTGAATTTAATTTCCACACTAAGGCACACAACTTGTATCTTTCCCCTCATTTTACTTAGTTTCATTTTTGCCTTCTCTTCCTCTCTGACCTAATTACTTATTTACTGTCCTAAGGAGTTATTTAGGCATATCCATCTGACAGAATAGTAATTTTTCATCTTTTAGAGAAGAAAACTAAATCTCTCAGGTGTGCATCTTTGCTCTAGGTATCATTCATGGGGATCTCCAGTAGTCTAAAAGTGGAGTAGGCTGCAGGCCAGGCAAGGCCTGGGGCACTGTCTTCTATGACTTTTTTTTTTTAACATGTTTTTATTGATTTCAGAGAGGAAGGGAAAGGGAGAGATAGAAACATCATTGATGAGAGAGAATCATTGATCGGCTGCCTCCTGCATGCCCCACACTGGGGATCGAGCCCCCAACCCAGGCATGTGCCCTGATTGGGAATCGAACCTTGACTTCCTGGTTCATAGGTCGACGCTCAATCACTGAGCCACACAGGCCGGGCTTCTATTGACATTCTTAAAGGGTTTTCACCCTCAGCCATCTGAAAAAAAATCAAATTAAAAATCTACGACTCTACTCTGCCTCGTCCATAGTTCTTTTTAACTATCAAATGTGCAGGGAGTACCGCTACACACCAGTTTCCTAACAGGAAGACCAGGGAGCCTTGTAGAGATGCGCCCTGTTTCCTGCTCTCTGTGTAGACCATAGACCAGCGGTTCTCAACCTGTGGGTCGCGACCCCTTCGGGGGTTGAACTGCCCTTTCACAGGGGTCGCCTAAGACCATCGGAAAACACATATATAATTACATATTGTTTTTGTGATTAATCACTATGCTTTAATTATGTTCAATTTGTAACAATGAAATTGGGGGTCACCACAACATGAGGAACTATATTGAAGGGTCGCAGCATTAGGAAGGTTGAGAACCACTGCCATAGACGATCTGCATCACTGCTCTGGTCACTAACCAGGAACCTGCTGGAGCAGTAAGCACTGTTGAGGTCTATTTGTACCAGGAAAACTTCCTTAGGTCTTGAAGGGTTGGAAACAAACAACCGATACCATTACAACCTGGAGCAGGTTCTTCCAACACTCAGAGCACGTGATCTTTCTGTATGCTCAGGCTTACGGAAGCCTTCTTTGTCAACCCAGAGCAACCGACACAATTTAGGCTCAGTTTTATGCAGCAATAGGAGGATGGAAGTCAGAACCTCAGGGAATTCCCAGAAAGTCCATGAGGCCCTGCTTCTATAAGGAAAGTGTGCCCCATTACATACTTTGGTAAACTTATTTAAGACTTCAAATTCCATGAATTAAGATGGTTTTTTGGTCAATAAATAAAAATTTAAAAAAATTTTTTTGAAGATGGTTTTTAGGAATCAACTGATGAGCT